TTATCTTTTTAATTTGTCATTTTTTTCCCTTTTTGTGTATTATTTGGGAATTCTAATTTAGTACTAATTTTTCTCAAGTTGTTATTTTAAAATCATGAATTATAAAGGCCAAACACTCCATTTTTGTTTTAACACTTGCAGATTTTTGCCTTTGTTGAAGTTCAGGCCTCACTGTGTTTTGCCTGGACTATTGCAGTAGCATCTTAACTGTTTTTTTCGGCGTTTATTCTCTCTGTCCAAATGCATTTACACATCTGCTTTCTGAATTGACCATGTCAGTATTCTTCATAAAATCCTATGCTGGTCCTCTGTTGCCCACAGGGTAAAATCTAAACTTGTTAGCCTAGTATTCATGGTCATTCATAATCTGTTCTTAATGTACCCTTCTCGCCTCGAGTCTCACCACTTCCCATTCCCAGACTCAGCAGAGCACATACATTTCATCTCATGAACTTCCTCCTTCCACTGGTTTTAGGTTATCTGTTGAGAAGGAATTTGAGTCTCATATGGGCTTTAAACATGCTTTAATTGACTAGTGATGTCTGTCATGGATTGAGGGCAGAAGAGTAGTAGCACATGTACCAGAAATTGATATCTGTACCCTTGCCAGATGGGCTTCCTCATACATGCTATTTTGTTTGTTTGTTTTTGTGTTTTACTGTTGCTCGTTCTGTCCTTGGCCTGCAGTATCCCATGTGAAATTCTCATCCTTCGACATGACTTATCCTCTCTGACAATTTTTCCATTCTCTTATGCAAACTTTCCTGAGTGATACCAGAGCTTCTGTTCCTATAGCTAGTAGAGTGTAGAGACCAGGACAGAGAAATTGATTTTTAAATGTCAGTCACCCCAACTGGATTGTCAGCTCTGTGAGACCGTATACATGTTTATGTCCAGCACAAAATAGGTGTTAAATGTGTGTTGATTTGATTAGAATATAATTATTTCTCTTACCTAAAATAACTGCATTTTCTTTTGTTTTTTTATTTTAAGAAAGAAACAGTGTCAGAGACTTAAGAATTAGAGTTTATTGTTCTAATATGTGATTCAATAAAGATGAAATTATAATAGTAACATATTTTGGCTAAAGTCAAAGGAATTGTTTCTGACCAAAATAAATCCTTTGATTTGGCAGGATTAATTCTTTATTAAATCTGTTAAGAAGATTGACTTCTAAATGCCAACCAGTTGTAGAGCTACTCAGTCATATAACTGATAACATAGAAAAATTCAGGCCTTTAGAATTACGATGAGGTTAGTATATAGTATAGTCCTTGGAGAACAAAAGCTATTATTCTATTAATAATAATATCAGTGTAATTGTATTTGTTTTACTTTGCTCATCTTGATATAGGATAGAAGTCAGGTTTTTCTTTTTAGGGTATGTATTTAGTTTACCACATCACTATAAGCCCAGATAACCTTCCAAGTCATAAATATGGAGAAATTTAGTAGTGTTAAATGCCTCTTATGTGTGGCTAATTTTGGTTTAAAACAGAGAAAATCAGGCTACCAGGTAAGAGACAGTGGCTTGCTATACTGTAAGCTCCGTATTTGTTGCTTAAAGCTGTATTTCATCCAGTCTCTTGGCATGTTGCCAGCACATTTTATTTCTCTTACCTCATATTCTTTGGAGAGGCTGTTATGTAGCCTGATACTACTACCACCAATTTCTAGTTTTGCTACTTAAGCTGTTTGTGAGCTGACCTCACCGTACTGCTTTGAGAACTATGATGAAAGTTACAACTGTGGAGTGATCTGTCTGAATAGTTGGAAGTGTTTGTCTTTGCATCTTTCTAGCATGCAAAGAAGGAATAGACACAGATAAATAAATAACTACATGGGTGTTTCTTGTATCTTTTTTTCCCCATGAATAAGAACCAGTTTATAAAGGTTTATGGGGGTTTTCTTCCTTTTTATTTTGCATAGAAGAAAATATTTTTTAAAAATAAGAATTGCATTCAAAGAGGCACATAAATGACATTTAGCCATGCTAGTGTTTGAAAGGACCATCTTTAGAATAAATGTCAAAGTTATTTTTATTAACAGTAGGTATGATCCTGACCCTGATTTGATGTCAGGTCTATTATTTAATTACTCTAATATCCTTGTGCTTGAGCATTATAGAATAAACATTTCTTCTTTCCAAAAGAGACAAACTAAACTTTTTATTTTTTTAATATGGGATGTACTTGAGTAGATTAGTCTTAGAAAAAGAATGATTAGTGCCTTTTTAAAACTTGAATCTCACTAAAAATAACTCCATATTTAAACTAATTTAGAGGTATGCCACCATTTTGTGGGTATTTTTTACATTTAAGGAACTAAGAATGAACAATGGTATAAATCTACCAGCTAGATAAGTGTCTAGCAATGCAGAAATTGCTGTTTGGGAGCGGTGTTGCTATTTCTACTTGTTGAAGTAATTCGATGGTTGATCTCTAGTAGTTGAAAGATCCAGAATGCAAAACCTAAGATAAATTTGGCACAGGTAGAAAGTAAAAACAGTAGGTATGTTTCTGATAGGTAACAAATTAAAAAGAAATTAAATGGTTGAGCAATTTTTTAACTAATTAAGATGTAGAAATTCAAACTCTTCCTGATAGTTTGGCTGAACTGCGCTTTGTTTAAAAATACTGGTTTTATTGTGATTTTAGTTGTTAGTTTGGACATTGACCTGTAATTTGAATTGTGACATTCAGTAAGGCCAGCATGAAATACTTGCAGTTTCTCTAACTTTAGTTGTAGTAAATATTAATAGAAAGGGACACAGTCATGCTGCCTCAGGTTTTGCAACCATTTTACAGTTTTATGTGACTGTAGAAATGTTATGCCAATTAATTTAAGGTAATTTTAAAACTGAAAAAATGATTGTTCTAGATTAAGGATCACAAGTCTTGGTATAGAAATATTGTTATTATTAAAGTAAAAAATAGTTTTAACTGTTCTCACCAGAATAAGTTTGGATATATTATTTAATGCTTACCCTATGAAGAAAAAAACAATATGTCACTTTTGGTATGAGAGCCACATTGCAAATTCAAATTTATAAGCTTTTATTACTCTCTTTAAAGGTATTAATCTGTATTTTAGAGAAAATAAAGCAAAGGTAAAATAATTTTCAGAGGTGAGAAGGAATTTTTTTAGTTATTTTTTAGATTTTATTTTAAAGGAAGAAGGTTTCTTGATGTTGAGCTGCTTTTACTAATAGAATATGACCCGCCCGTCTTGTGTTTTTATACAGAGCCATTTAAAGACATGGCTTTCATTGCTCAAAGTTCTAAGGGAGAAAAAAACTTTTCCTGTTGTGCAGGGAAAA